TGTAGCCTCCATTATCCATCATGGAAGAAGTCTGGAACAACTAGGACTCTTCCTAGAGCTGGCTTCCTGGCCAAACTGAGTAATTGATGGAGAAGGGCCTTGGTTAGGGTGACCAAGAAGCTGATGGCCACTCTAGTTGAGCTCTATGATCATATATGGAGATATGAGAAACTTCACTGCAACACTCCACAGATCTGGGCTTTATGGCGGAATGGCCAGACTCAATCCTCTCCTCAGAAAAGACACATGAAAACCCACTTGGAATTTGCAAAAAAGCACCTAAAGGACTCTCAGACTGTGAGAAACAAGATTCTCTGGTCTGATGAACCTCAATTCCAAGCATCATGTATGGAGGAAACCAGGCACTGCTCATCACCTGCAGAGTAGCATCCCAACAGTAAAGTGTGCTGGTAGCAGCCTCATGCTGTGGTGGTGTTTTTCAGTGGCAGGGACTGGGGGACTCGTAAGAGTAGAAGTAAGGCTCAACACAGCAAAATACTGAGATAGCCTTAATGAAAACGTAGACTCCAGAGCATTCAGAATCTCAGCCAGAGCCTGGGCTTGAACCCAATCAAACATTTCTGGAGAAACCTGGAAAATGTCCGTCGGCCCCCATCCAACCTGAGTTTGAGAGGTGAAGAAGTGAGGAGAAGAATCACTGTAAAAAGTAATGAGTTGAACTTACTTGGAAAATCTGTGGAAACTGATTGCCTCAAATTTCTCAAGTAAGCTGTACTCAAAACTTAAAGTTGTTAATACAAAGACAGAAAACAGATTGTTAGCACAACAATAGGGCATTTATTTGTTTAATAAAACAATGTTACTTCAAGTCATTACTTTTTAGGCATGCTATCAAATCAACAATTTAACATTGTAAGAAAAATTGCACATACTGCACTCAGGAAATAAATAGACATGAATCTACAATATATAGACAAATATATAAATAGACAAATAGACTTTCTACATCAGAAGATTTTTCAGAGATTGCATTTTAGGTTCAGCCATTGAATGAAATCAAAGGTGTCCTTCAGTACTGGAGGATACTATAATTTCATAACATAAATCCAAGTCCAAAGAGCACACATTTCAAACACGATCTGACTCTGAAGTTCAGTTCGTTGTCTTCTTCTGGTGATGTTTTGTTTAAACCAACCTTCCGCCACCTACTGGTCTAGAGTTATTAGGGCACATAGTAGGATTGGGGAAATCTATATATATATATATAATTTTTTTTTATTTTGTCTCCAATCACCCGTACACGTTCACATTGCGCATAAGCAGGGACTCCCAACACATTGAAGAAATTAAAATAGCAGTAGCAGAACACATTAATGTTTTTGTCATATGCTGCAATTACCAAAATCCAGTAAATATATGAAGTTATTAA